ATACTTTAGTTGCAGTAAAACATTTAATTATTCACATTTTTATGATAAAACGGTATATATGTGACCCTGGACCACAAAACCAGTCATAAGGGTAAATTTTTTGAAAATGAGATTTATGCATCATCTGAAAGCTGAATAAATAAACTTTCCATTGATGTATGTTAGGATAGGACAATATTTGGCCGAGATATAACTATTTGAAAATCTGGAATCTGAGGGTGCAAAAAAATCGAAATATTGAGAAAATCATATTTAAAGTTGTCCAAATGAAGTTCTTGGCAGTGCATATTACTAATCAAAAAGTAAGTTTTTATATATTTATGGTAGGAAATTTCCAAAATATCTTCATGAAACATGATTTTTACTTAATGTCCTAATGATTTTTGGCATTAAAGAAAAATTTATAATTTTGACCCATACAATGTATTGTTGGCTATTGCTACAAATATACCCCAGCGACTTATGACTGGTTTTGTGCTCCAGGGTCACATATATAAAATAAAATGTATGAATTATTACCTCAACAAAAAAATATATACAGCATTTATTTGAAATAGATATATTTTGTAACAATATACACTACAGTTCAAAAGTTTGGGGTCAGTAATTTTTTTTCTTCTTTTTTTGAAAGAAATTAATACTTTTATTAATCAAGGATGTGTTAAATTGATAAAAAGTGATTGTAAAGACTTATATTGTAAGAAAATTCTATGTCTATTTTGATTAAATGCTGGTTTTTTAAAAAAATCCCTCCCCCACCAAAAAAAAAAACAAAACAACGTATCACAGTTTCCAAAAAATATTAAGCAGCACAACTGTTTCCAACGTTGATAATAAATCAGCATATTAGAATGATTTCTGAAGGATCATGTGACACTTAAAAAAAAACTGAAGTAATGATGGTGAAAATTTAGCTTTGCATCACAGAAATAAATTTCCTTTTAAAGTATATTCAAATAGAAAACCATTATTTTAAATTGTAATAATATTTCACAATATTTCGATTTTTGATTAAATAAATACAGCCTTGATGAGCATAAGAGACTTCTTTAAAAAAAAAACATAAAAAATCTTACTGATTCCAAACTTTATGTATAGGTTACCCAAACATGTCACAACTGCAGTGAATTTCATATTATATTTCAAATAAAAATATTGATATCATTTCTCAACAGTGCTGTTTCCTCGACACACCAACGCCAACACCAGAGACAACACCATCAACCTCATCCACACCTTCCGGGACTATCTGCACTACCACATAAAGTGCTCCAAGGTGGGACCCTCCTCAGAAACGCCTCTTTGCCCAACATCGACTATTTGTGTTCATGAAGGGTCGAACACAACCCTTGAGTTTGTAATGTGTAATTGTAATTGCTTTGTAATGTGCTTTTCAGTTTGCAACCTTTGTATGGCCAAGTGAAACACATTTGTCAGCGTGAAGAAAACTGCTATGAAGTTAATGTCTAATCTTGGGAATGTAGGTGTTTTCTCCTCTCATACAGTAGGTGTGTTTTCTCTCGTTTTAGGCTTACATCCACACTCGTATGAGGGCCAAGACCTCGGACTTCCTCAAGGTACTCAACCGTGCTCGCCCCGACGCTGAGAAGAAAGAGATGAAAACTATGTCGTAAGTGCTGTTTCACAATCATTAGTATTTCACGCTTATATGAAACCGCACAAAGTCATCCAGGTCTTTTGAAAATTCAATCTTTTTCTCAGTTGAGGTGGTTGATTTGTGCTGATGTTGGTGCATATCTCTGGGTTTTATTCAACACCAGAGGCGTGTGCTTGCAAAAGATTCATTTGTGATAGTGTGTGTTTGAATTTTCGTTAATTACACTGAGGCGTTGCACCCTCCGCTGTCTCTTAGAGGCTGCTCATATCAGAGCAGATTACCATGTACTTTTAATATTACTAACTTAGCTGGTTGTTGTTTGAGCTTGTTTAAACTAAAATGTGGCCAAATGCTGCAGATACGTCTTCTCTGGAATTTTTTTTCTAGTTGATTAGAGCCAAAGAGAAATAGATTATTATCAATAACGTAGGAACCTGAGCTCTGATGAATTATTTGTATATGTCAGTGTGCTTTTAACTTGGAAAACAAACTTTTTAATGAAGGTCAATACATAATCCTGAAGAAAGATCCACCAATTGGAGAAGTTGCTCTTGCCATTGAAAAAGAGCTCAACAGCAACCACCCACTCCCATAACGCACTGTGAAAGAAAAGTCTTATCTTAAACATCCTATATATTTTAATATTTTGCAATAAACCTCTAAAATAAGGCATTTTATACTTGAAGGCATTATTCTTCGTGAAGTCATTTAAGTTCACAGTTTTGCAGTTTTGCCTTTTCAGTTTCAAATTTCATATAGATTTTAGTTTTCAGTCAAATTCAAATGTTGTGATTCATTTCAGAGCTTGTTGAACTCTTTGACGATTTTGATAAATGTTTCTGGAAAAATGCATTAGAATTTAATTTAACTTAATTCAGTTTTCAGTGAAAATTTATTGTAGAAACTAGATGTTTTCCTCAATCAGTTATTATTTGCACAGTAAAAACGACCTCCTTGGTTAAAGAATTCACAATGACTGGAACGTGAAGTGCTTCTCTGTGTCATCAGACTTTAAAGATTCCTGGGTAACACTTTTCAGGAAGTTTTCATTTGCTAACAGTTAATGCATTAAGTATTTTGAACTAACAATGAGCAACCATTTTTAACAACCTTTATTAATATAGAGGAATATTTATTTCTACATAATGTTTTATTATTAATTCATGTTTGTTCATAATGCATTAGCTAATGTTTATTTATACAGCTTTAAATGTAAAAAAAAACAAAAACATATCATTATATGTAGAAATAGTACAAAGGTCCCATTAGGTGACATTAGTTAATGCATTAACTAACATTAAGCAACAATGATCAATCATTTTGTTACAGTATTTATTAATCTTTCATTCAAACTATTCATTGTCAGTTCATGTCAGGTCAGGTTCATTAAATAATATGAACAGATGCCACTTTTGTTTTTAAAAATGTATTCGAAAATGTTGAAATTGAAGTTACAGTTAATACATTTTATGTTAGCTAATGTTAACAAATGGAAGCTTATTGTAAAGCGTTATTGTAGAAATGAGCATGCATTGTTAGTTTATGATATCTAATGCATTAACTAATGTTAACAAACTGAATCTTTTCTTAAAATGTGCTGCTGATTTCTGACTTAAGTGTTACAGATTCATCCTTAACTATAACATTGTCAGTTCATGTCAGGTCAGGTTCATTAAATAATATGAACAGATGCCACTTTTGTTTTTAAAAATGTATTCGAAAATGTTGAAATTGAAGTTACAGTTAATACATTTTATGTTAGCTAATGTTAACAAATGGAAGCTTATTGTAAAGCGTTATTGTAGAAATGAGCATGCATTGTTAGTTTATGATATCTAATGCATTAACTAATGTTAACAAACTGAATCTTTTCTTAAAATGTGCTGCTGATTTCTGACTTAAGTGTTACAGATTCATCCTTAACTATAAATCCTTAAAGGGGACATCCCCCCCCCCCAAAAAGCCTAAACAGCCTCAATTATCAAGCTGTTTTGGTTTTCTGAGCAATGTAACGTTATACTTTTCAAGCCCTGCCCACATCCGCTGACCGACTGTCCCGTATTAGCATATTTCCGCATGTTTCAATTTCTGTATATTTATGCTGAAGGGCACAAGGGCACAAATATGACATTTATTATAATGGGTTTATGTGAAGATTTTGTTCACTTAAATTAAAAGTTATTTTTTAAAGTCTAATAAATGTTAAAATTGATAGCTCTCCATTATACTGTAATGTTGAATAGCTATAGTATATAGCAATTTTGTAGAGAAATCAGTATTGGTATTATTGGTACTGGCCTTCAGTCATAAAAAAAGATGCCATTAAACAAATATTAAAAAATATACTGTCTTTATGTTGTTTGTACATTAATTTGAAGATTGAATGTGAAATTGCAATATAAAAGTATATTTAAAAACTTTAATGTTAGGTGGGATTAATCGCGATTTAATTAGTTAATTTATTTTAATCGATTGACAGCACTAATATATATATATATATATATATGTGTGTGTGTGTGTGTGTGTGCACTTTTACATTTTCTTGGTATCAATTGTCAGTAGTACATTCGTGCAATACTGATTATATAGCTATATTTATTTCACTGTTTGACCTGTGAATATGAATGTAACCCTCACATCATCTGTCCAGGGGCAAGACCTTCTCCCGTTAAGGACATGATGTGCAATCCCGAGACCAGCATCCGTGGACTCCATCATACACCTCTGGCCAGTGATGTCGATCCTCCATCTGTAATTTGCACCTCAACAGGGAGACGATAAAATTCCTTGCTTTTGCATTTATAGGATAAATGTTATTTGTATGTTGGATAAACGGTTTTTTTGATACGCTCTTATGTTTCATTGCGTAGCTCTGTTGTCTGACAGTGTTTTATTGACATTAGTCATGCAGTATTTTCCCTTTCCTCCTTCCTTTTGCCGCCTTTGTTTCGCCAAATGCATCAATATTGGACAGCATGAAATGGTCATGAATAAACCCGTCTTCTATAAAGAAATTCTTTGTATGTTATTTGGGGTAAAATTACTGTATGCATGCAAAATTTTGGGGTTAAAAAATGCAGATACGAAAAAAAAATTCTCATGCTCACCAAGGCTGCATTTATTTAATCAAAAAAATACAGTAAAAACAGTAGTATTGTGAAATTATTACAATTATAATTTTATTTGAATATATTGTAAAATGTCATTTATTATTTGATGAAAGATGAATTTTCAGCATCATTACTACTCCAGTCTTCAGTGTCACATGATATTTTTGTGGAAATCATGATACATTTTTGTTCAGGATTCTTTGATGAATAGAAAGTTTCAAAGAACAGCATTTATTTGAAATATAAATCTTTTGTGATGTAATAAATGTCTTGCTGTCTAATTTTGGTCCACCCATGCTGAATGTAGGCCTATTATTTTCTTTCAGAATCAAACATTATGATGACTGACTCCAAACTTTTGATTGCCAAAGTACATTATAAAATAACAACACTGAGCAGAAAATTAAACTCATACATGTTTTAATGTGGCAAAGGAGATTGATAAAATAGTCATGGTCATCACAAAGAAAAATTGAGCTATAAGAAGGAAAGACAGAGATGAAGAACCGCTAATGCTGATTAGGATGAGGCAATCGAAAGTCACTCGTTCTCCAACATATCATCTTGAGAAGCTTCCTCCACCTCATCGTGTTCAGCAGGTTACTTCTGTTTCCTCCACCTAATCATCTTCCTCTACATTGGTTGTTCTGCTAACTCTTTATTTTGCGAACGCCTTTTCCACCTCTAACTCCAGTTGTTCTGCCAACTCCTCTTGCTCATCTTTCCACTTTTCCATTGCTAACTCCATTTGTTGTCCACGCTCCTCTTGCTCATCTTTCCACTTTTCCATTGCTAATTCCTCTTGTTGTCCCCACTCCTCTTGTTCTTCTTTCGCTTTTTCCATCGCCAACTCCACTGCTAACTCCATTTGTTGTCCACGCTCCTCTTGCTCATCTTTCCACTTTTCCATTGCTAATTCCTCTTGTTGCCCCCACTCCTCTTGTTCTTCTTTTGCTTTTTCCATCGCCAACTCCACTGCTAACCCCATTTGTTCTGCCAAATCCTCTTGCTCTTCTTTCGCCTTTTCTATCGCTAACTCCATTTGTTTTCCCCACTCCTCTTGCTCTTCTTTTGCCTTTTCCATTGCTAACTCCATTTGTTCTGTTAACTCCTCTTCCTCCCCAAAAATGTGGTTGTTGTGATTAGGATTTTGCTCTGTTCGCTCTGAGAGACCACTTCTCCGTCCACTATTTGTTGCCTGATAATGGCTTTCTTGAGTCCGACAGAAGGTGGAGGAGCTGGAGACAGAAAGCTGGAGGTTAGAGTAAGTCTTTAGTAATTCATTAAGACATTTACAGACATCCCACCTCTCCCGGAATGTCCGGGAGTCTCCCGCATATGATAGCGGCTCCCTGACGCCCGCGAATTATAAACAATTTAATGTTACAAACGGTGCAGAGAGAATCCCTATTTCCACCTGGTATTAAGAGGTTGATCCGATAATGGTCAGCCAAGTGGTATAATATTTACCTGGTGTGATAATGCGTTTACCTACACTTTTTTAAAAATCGTTTTTGTCTTAACCTGTTATTATAATGCGTTTTCCTGGTGTTATCAGTGCGTCTCTTGTGACTGCTTGCAGTTAGATTTCCTTTTATTTAGTGATCATCACTTTCACTTTCGATTCACGAATATTGAAAGTACAAAGGGGTGTTCATTCTCTGGGGCCATTTCCTGGAAATGGGTTGAGTCATTCTATGAATCAGGTGCCTATTGCAGTTTGGGAAAGTAATTTATGAAATTTTTTTTTTTTAAATGTTGTGTTTAAATTTCAATACATTGCATCGCACCTTCTCAAGCTAAATTAACAAATTATTATATTATAATTATATCTACAGAGCAGTATAGGGTGACGTTTTAGTTTAATTTGACAAATAATGTGACATGGTATAAGTTCCTTCTTTGAGAATTTAATGCTGATATTTCAAATATCCACTTTTTCACTTATTATTTTTACTATACAACATTGGGAGGTTCTGCAGCGGTCGCCGCTGCCTCAGGGAAAGTGTATATGGCCCAGACACACAAAATGGTGACCACCATCACGTGCTCTGGCGTAGTTTACGTTAATGGGTGTGTTGATATCCAGCCGAAAGAGCAATCAAGCATAACTTCAGGCGAGCAGGCTCAGAAGTTGGGAATACGTGGAAAGTCACCACTCCCGAATGAGTTCGCGCGAGAGAACATAATCTTTTCGTTTTAAGTCGGTTTGAACAATCAGGATAAGCGCAAGTAAGTACCATTTTGATTAGCCGTCGTACCTACAATGACTGTGCACTGTGTAAACAATGAGTGACGTATACGCGCGAGAGATCACTTCCAGCGCTTGCGTAAACTACGCCAGAGCGCATACATACCTCACGCACCGGATGCTGTGCGCGCGCCCAAAGACAGTTGGACATAGTGGTGTATTAGAGGTAAAATATGATATTAATACTGTTCGGTTTCTGGCACAAACCGATCATTTCGTGTCTTAGGACATCAATGTGTCGTCACGAGCCGCAGGGTTTAATTTGGCTATGTCTGTGCATGTTTTTTTTACTCTCATAGATTTTGTTACCATTGCCATGCATTATACGACTGATAGACAGCAACGGTTAAAGTTAAAAATCATCATATGTGTTTTACTGAAGAAACAAAGTCACCTACATATTGGATGTCCCGGGGGTAAGCAGATAAACATCAAATTTTCATTTTTGGGTGAACTATCCCTTTAAGAGTGGTGGATTTGCAAAACTGGAAGCCAGTCTCAAATGCATAGAAACTGACTTGTTATCTTCAGGTGCAGTGATGGCTGGAAACACTGGACTCGTGACTACCAAACTTGCTGCTGGAATCCATGGTGTGACCAGCTCCGTGGGCACCGGAGCTTGATGTACACTGAATTTCTACAAGTTGTAGAGTGGGAGCATATGCTGCTGTTTTTTTTTTCAACAGGGTTGTACACACTAGATTTGCATGGGCAGCAAGGGAAAATTCTGTATGGAAACAGCAATATTGTGTGATGTCCACATTGCAATCAGTGACAAAAGAGATTTCAAAATAGGATAACACACCACAGATGACAATTCTGTCATTGTTTTCATTCCAAACCTGACTTTCTTTGTTCTGTTGAACATAAATGAAGATATTTTGAAGAATGTTGGTATCCTAACAGTTTCAGTTCCCACTGACTTCCATTATGCACAAAAAATACAATGGAAGTCAGTGGGAACCACATATGCTTGGTTACCAACATTCTTCAAAAGTATTTTTTCCCAGCAGAAGAAAGAAATAGGCCTACAGGTTTGGAATGACATGATGGTGCAACAAACATGCATAAACATGCTTTTTATATTTGTTCTGAAGTACGCCAAAAAACCTAACAAAAACCAGCAGCATAATGTTTTTGGAAAAAGTCTCTAATGCTCGCCAAGGCTGCATTTATTTAATCAAAAATACAGTAAAAACACTAAACATTGTGAAATATCATTACATTTCAAAATAACTGTTTATTTTAATGTATTTTAAAATGCAGTTTATTCCTTTGATGAAAAGCTTAATTTTCAGCATCATTACTCCATTCTTCAGTGTCGATCCTTTAGATATCTTTCTACTGTGCTGACTTGCTGCTCAAGAAACATTTTTTTATCAGTATCAATGTTGAAAACGGTTGTGCTGTTTCATATTTTTTTTTGTGGAAATCCTGATAGGCTACATTTTTGTTCAGGATTATTTGATGAATAGAAAGTTCAAAAGAATAGCATTTATTTGAAATATAAATCTTTTGTAATACCTTTTTCTTCAACGCAGAAGTAAGCCAATGCGTGAGACTTCCGGTTCATTAACTGCTATAAAAATGTTTGCACTACAAACCAGTGTGTTCATAATTAAGATAATACATTAAAATAATATGATAAGACACACCAATTTTCAAAATCAAGCAGCAAAACTAACTGTTTTGTACAGCAAAAAAATACCTGGACGCAGAGATGAGACCGGAAACCAGACCCATAGAATTTACAAATGGCCGCGGCCATTTTTACGACAAGAAAAAGGTGGATAAATGTCTTGCTGTTGCTTATATTGCTTCATTCACCTTTAATTTTGAGACCACGCCCTTCCTTGTCAAATAAACTCTTTCCAAGGAGCGAATATTACTGTATTTATCCGTTTTCTGTTTCAGGTATGATTCTGTGTGTCCATAAACCCATCAGTTTACACAAATCGGTCTGTTTTAAACTAAAAGACAGAAACAGGTGTTTTCTCATGTCGCAACATAAGCAGATGTATGTGTCTGAGAAAATATATTTTGGTGTTAAAAAAAAAAAAGAACAGTACCTAGTTTCTGTTTTTATTTGAGTTCCATAAGATGAGGCCGTTCCCTTGCCGTTTACTGCAGAAACTTTTTTAGCAGAAGCACACGCTTCTCATCATGCCTAACAACGCCCTTCATGCGTGACTTATTCACAATACAGCACGGCCTCTCATACCTTATTGCTTACTCAAAAATTATTATTACTGACCCCTACCCTTAGATTGGTAATTTACATTAGAAAATAACAACACTGACCAGAAAATGAAGCTCATACATATTTAATTGTGGCATAGGAGATTGATAAAATTGTCATGGTCAACACAAAGAAAAACTGAGCAAGAACAAAGGAACAAAGACAGAGAAGAAGAACCACTGAGGCTGTAAGAATAGGATGAGACATAGCAGTAAAAAGTTACTTTTTCTTCACAACATCTTGAGAAGCTTCTTCCTCCTCATCGTGTTCAGCAGGTGACTTCTCTGTCCTCCACTAACTCATCTTCCTATGCTAACGGCAGTTGTTTTGTTAACTCTTCCTCTGCTTTCACCTCTTCCACCGCTAGCTCCAGTTGTTCTGCTACTTTCTCTTCCTCTGCTTTCGCCTTTTCCACCGCTAGCTCCAGTTGTTCTGCTACTTTCTCTTCCTCTGCTTTCGCCTTTTCCACCGCTAGCTCCAGTTGTTCTGCTACTTTCTCTTCCTCTGCTTTTGCCTCTTCCACTGCTAGCTCCAGTTGTTCTGTCAACTCCTGATCCTCCCCAGAAACTTCCAGGTCATTGTGATTAGTAAGATTTTGCTCAAGTTCCCTCTGAGAGACCACTTCTCCGTCCACTATTTCTTGTGTGATGATGATGGCTTTCTTAAGTCCGACGGGAGGAACTGGAGACAGAACGTAGGCTGAAGGTTAGAATCAGTCTTTAGTAATTCATTAAGACAATTATGTAGCACACCAAAAAAAAAAAAAAGCACTAGAAGCTCTTAAAAGCAAAGAATTCATTAAGCTTCATCATGATGCATATATTAGTTGAGAAAGCAACATTTTAATAAATATTACTAGGGTCATTCTATGAATCAGGTGCCTATTGCAGTTTAAGAAGATAATTTTGCAAGTTTTTGTACATTTCAAAAATCCCATCAGACAAGTAATTGATTTAAAGGTCCCATATTGTCAAAACTGAAACAACATGGCATCCATGCCATTGCTGAGCAACAACAACAACACGGAAACATGTCGAAAAGGTTAACTTTAACCACGAAACCAGATCGGCCGACCTGTAACATTACACGTTATACTCAAAGGATGGACGATCTGACAGGATTGTTACTATGAGGTGGATCACATCTAACGTGTGTAGTAAAGACAAACTCACCGTGTCTATCTAGTCATGATAAAGATGTATATACATTTCAATTTCAGCAGGCAACTATTTTTACAGCTACACTGTTGTTCCAGCCACAATTAATCACAACAATGTATATACAATTACAAATGATTATATATAAATCGTCAGTTTGTTGTTTTACACACATGCACACAGACATTATTTCATACACGACATAGTCGTGAGATGCAAGAAACATAGACATATGGCAAGAAATCTGTAGACGCGCCCATAACAACAAAAGACAATACTTTATTGAAGCTTTTCTGATAAGAAGTGTGCGCTGCAAACGCGAGCATTTTTGACGATCGTTTCTGTCCAGTCTGCTCGTTTTATCGCGTTTAACCACAGCTGTCGTCGGTTTTTTGTCTGGCAGTGGCAGCAGATATGCGATCAAATTTCTAATTTGTGGCTGTATTATGTCGATTCTGGCACCCAACTTCACAACAAGATGATATTTTAAGCTCCTTATGTAGCCGAATCTGCGCTGGTTTAAATGGGCCGCCTCCAGTTTCCCCTTTGTTTTGCTGCCTCCAGCTAGCGCTGTGACTAGCTTACCTGTGTTACCTGTGGTTGGCCTGGCCGTGCGTCACTCAGAACACAACAGGCCAATCAGAAGAGAGGATATTAATATCATGAATATTAATTAGACAGACCAAAATCGACCCGTTCTCAGCAGAGCTCCTGAGAGAGGAGCTGTAAAAATATATTGAGATGGTTTTGGTACTTATACCGCAAATATATATTCTTAAGGACATCAAAACCTCAAATAAAACTCCAGAAAGGTGTACAATATGGGAGCTTTAAAAGTTAACACATTGCATTGCACCATCTCAAGCTAAATTAACAAATTGTAATATATTCTGAGATATGATTTTAGTTTAATTTGACAATTGGCATTATAAGCTCATGAAGTTAAAAGGTGTTTCTTTGAGAATTGATGTTGATTGTTAATTTTACTTCATTCATATTTTTTTTGAATTATAATTATTAAAAAAAAAACATTAAAATGCATAAAAGTCAACTTAAAGGTAAATGTATAAACACTTTTGTTCATAAGATTTGGGGCAGTAAGTTTTTATTTTTTAAAGAAATTAATACTTTTATTCAGCAAGTATGCATAAATTGATCAAAAAGTATTTCTATTTCAATTAAATGCTGAATACTGAAAAATAAATGTTTCAGTTTTCACAAAAATATTAAGAATTTTTCAACATGGATAATTATTGTTTTTTTTTGTTAATCAGCATATTAAAATGATTCAGAAAATTCAGCTTTGCATTACATTAAAAAAGATTTTTAATATATGCATTTTGCTTTCCTCTGTAAATACATACATGTTAATAAAGCCAAAAAATGAAGGTGGCTAAAAAAGGCACACAAATGGCACCTGTTTTGTAGAATGACCCTTTTGTTGTAACATGTTGCAAAGATGATTATCTCCAAACATATTTGCATGAGGATAGCAGTGAGAAACATAAACAGTGTGAGTGATGTGAGTGTATTTGGCCAGCGAGGGCTCGGGCAGCACTGTTTACTCGTCTTTGTTAAACAGTACAGCAGTGAGTGATGATTAGTATGAAGACAAGCTTGATGTGGGTTAGGCAAGCGTGTTTTTTAACTCACACTGACGATGCTTAAAATCTACACGACGCGTCACGGCACTCACCTGCATACAACGCCTGCTCTAAAGAAAATTCCTCTCTGTGGAGGGAAGAGAAAACATGAGAGAGTGGCACAAAGGGAGGTACTTGATGGAAAGAATGCAACTAAATGTTCGAAGTTAAGAGTCGTTCACTGAAAAACCCCACACTGAGTGATCACTTTTCTGCAAGGGCCGAAACGTCCCCCTCATTGTCTTTAAGTGGTGTCTACTTTAATGGACAGATGCTTGCTGGGACATGTTTCTCACAAGCCTGTAGGGAAAGAGTTTGTGCCGTGTGTTTGTTACTATAGAGTGACTTCACCATGGAAAGATGAGCTTTGTGCACGCTAGATTTGCATGCGCAGCTCACAAGGGAGAATGCTGTATGGAAGCAGCAATGTTGTGTGATGTGCACATAAAATGAAACGATTTAAAAATGAATGGAATAGTCCACCAACAATTCTAAACCTGTATGACTTTCTTTGTTCTGTGGAACATAAATGAAGATGATATTTTGAAGAATGTAACCAAACAGTTTCGGTTCCCACCGACTTCCATTATATGAACATAAAATAGAATGGAAGTCAATGGGAACCGAAAATGTTTGGTTACCAACATTCTTCAAAATATCATCTTTTTTTTTTCCCCCGCAGAAGAAAGAAATGCATACAGGTTGGGATTGGAACAACATGACGGTGCAACAAACATGCATAAACATGCTTTTTGTATTTGTTCTTGACTACATCAAAACATTTGAACAAAGAGCAGTATTTACCTGCATATTCTTTTCACTAAAATACTTTCAGAGAAAGTTAGACATTTTCGATTTTGGCAACAAATCATTAAATCAGTGTTTTGAATCATTAAGGGTTATTGTGCATTATTATATTTTTATCAGCTGTTTGGACTCTCATTCTGACGGCACCCATTCACTGCAGAGGATCCATTGGAGAGCAAGTGATGTAATGCTATATTTCTCCAAATATATTCCGATGAACAAACAAACTCATCTACATCTTGGATGGCTTGAGAGTGAGTACATTTTCAGCAAATTTTCATTTTTGGGTGAACTGTTCCTTTAAAATAGACAGCGTGACCTGATGCACGAATGCAACTCTGATGGCATTTTTGCTACATTGTTTAAAGTCAACATGAAAATGCATGAATTAAAAAAAATAAAAATTATTTGTCTTATCAAATTTTTACAGTAATTTTATATGACAAGCAAAATTGTCTTGAATACATTGTGAATTTTTGATATATTGCCCAGTCCTAATTTGATTCTTCATAAGGGCTTATAAGGGATTTGGCTTCAGTCTAAAAGAAAAACAACTGATTCAGCTCATTAAAGACTTGAGGCGATTAAGTGTCAGGGATGATTCTAGCATTTAGCTGGAATATGTTTTTTTCCCATCCAGTTTTTGATCACTGTTCACAAACTCATTATCTCTCCTTCATCTTACCTGTTTTTGTCCCCCTTGTCATCAACAACACCCTCCAGGAGACGGTGATAGGTGGCAATCTCTGCCTCCAGTTTGGACTTGAGGTTGAGCAGGGCCTCGTACTCAGCCGCCTGACGCTCCACCTGCGCTCGCACCTGTCCCAGCTCTCCCTCCAGCTGCAGGATTCGAGAGTTGTACCCATTGACTTCGTGAGCGTAACGTGCCTCCGTTTCATGCAGCGAATCCTCGAGTGATCGAATCTGCAAAGCACCAAGCAGAACAAGAAAGGTTTGGACACATCTGAAGTTATGTTTCTCATGATCTTAATAACTTCTTGAAATAAAACCCTCTGTGTGAAACTGACAAATATAAATGTTTATTTTTTATTTATTTAATTTAAACGTTTATTAATTGTATTATATTGTTTAATTTCATTTTTGTCAGAATAAGTATATTGTTTCATTTTACATAAATATTTCTTACACTGAATGACAATGGAGCATTATTTCATCCACATTTTGACATTTTATTTTCACAAAAGTTATAATATATATATATATATATATATATATATATATATATATATTAAAATATATATTATATATTCATTCTTTTTGTTTCCATTTTTGTTATTTCATTGATGACTTTACTATTATACTAAAACGTGGGAAATGGTAATAATAAAGGCATGTATGTCAAAGGTAGGTATGTCAAAGTTTCTGACTTTTTTTCTGTGATTATTTCTGTGCAGAAATGTGTCTTAAGTAAGCCCAAAAAAATTATCTTGAAAAAACAATCTTGACAAACCACTATATAAAAACAGCTTTTGTTTTCCCATGGTTAAAAAACACTTGGGTGCACAGGAATAATGTGCAAGACATGTTTGAGCAACTGAATCTGCTAGACACCAAGTAGAATAAAGGAAAGTCTGGAAACATTTAAATGCATGGACAAATAGAAATGATTATTTTTAATATTTATTTAACATTTAGTACATTTCAGTAATTCAATTTTTTATTATATTATTTCATTAATTTGATTTTTATTAGATTTTCTATTTCCAGTATTTTTGTTTTCATTTGTGCTATTTATAAATGACTAGTATTATTCTAAAATGTGAGAAATAGTAATAAAGAATGAGTAGGTGTGTCAAACCTTTTGACTTCCAGCAATTATTTCTCTGCAGAAATGTGCTTCAGAAATGATCTTGACAAAGAAATATTTTCCCATGGTTTAAAAAAACACATGGGTGCACAGGAATAATGTGTAAATTCAGATGACATGCATGCACAGAGACAGGCATTGGAACATTTCGTGCTATCACATCTCATAATCATTTAAACGATGCACATGTCTGCCAGGTGAGAGTGCTGACTGTGTAGAATGCTGAGTGATTTGTCAAGTGGATAATTTGTGTAATCTGTGTACCGTACCATGTTGTGCAGAGCCTGCAGGTCAATTTCTAGAGATTGTTTCTGCCTGCGCAGCTCGTTCAGCTCTGTCTTTCCTGCCTGCAGAGCTTCTGTGTTCTGAGTCACCTCAGCTGTCATGTTGTCAAACTGGATAGAGAGGAACAAAGAGAACAAGGGATCCGGGTCACATGACAATATAGTGCTGCCTTATAATTAGGCACAAAGCTCTCCTAAATAAAAGGCACTTTCCCATAGGACACAACATAGGGTCACAACTGACAAAATGAAAGATGGTGCTTAACCTTTAATCCTTAAGAGACACAATTATTATATGTGCTGTTATATATATATATAACAGAAGGAGAAAACAAAAGAATGCAAAATATGACTGACTTTGTTTTGATACCAGGCTTCAGTTTCCTCGCGGCTCTTCTGCACGGCTCGCTCGTACTGCGTGCGGATGTTATTAATGACCTCATTGAGGTCTGTACTGTTTTTAGTCTCCATTTGCACATTGACTTGGGAGTCGCTGATCTGGTTTGTCAGGTTGGCAACATCCTGTAAAATAAAATGATCAATGGATTTAGTTATATGGATTATATTGGCAGGATCTGGCAACATAGCTGCTGCTGGAGAGCCGAGTTTGTTTAACGCTTGCCCTAAAGCATAGAAAAACCAGGCAGGTTGGGTGGGAAGATCTGTTGACAGTAGCTCAAATAATGATTTTATGGATTCAAATATTACTTTTTTAACTATTTCCCATTATTTTAATATAATATATAAAATCATTTAAATATTCAATTAATTCAAGCAATATTAATATCATAGTGTTAATATTAATGTAAAAAAATTTAATGAAATTGTTGATTCATTTTCTCAAAGGTGAAATCACGTTGATTTATGACTTCTAGAGCACTATACAGTAAAATTAATTCGATTTTACTTCCAGGACTGATGTTTGCTTTGGCTGCGCCCTGTTAATTTATTAACTGCTGCTGCTGCTTGTGATTAGAAGGCTGATTGTGGTCCAACAGTGAGTCTCATACAAACACAGATCAAACAAACCACCTGCGAGTGCATCTCTGTAGGGTTGAGGTGTTGCTGTTTAATCAGTGTTGAATGGTGTGTTTAAGGCGTAAATGTATATAATATATTAAAATATATATTATATATTCATTCTTTTTGTTATTTCATTGATGACTTTACTATTATACTAAAACGTAGGAAATGGTAATAATAAAGGCATGTATGTCAAAGGTAGGTATGTCAAAGTTTCTGACTTTTTTCTGTGATTATTTCTGTGCAGAAATGTGTTTTAAGTAAGTCCAAAAAAATTATCTTGACAAAACAATCTTGACAAACCACTATATAAAAACAGCTTTTGTTTTCCCATGGTTAAAAAACACTTGGGTGCACAGGAATAATGTGCAAGACAGGCATGTTTGAGCAACTGAATCTGCTAGACACCAAGTAGAATAAAGGAAAGTCTGGAAACATTTAAATGCATGGACAAATAGAAATGATTATTTTTAATATTTATTTAACATTTAGTACATTTCAGGTAAAAGTTTTGTGACTTTGTCTTTTTTTTTTTTTTTATAATAATATTTCTTCCATTTTGTTTCTTAATTGTATTTCAGTTGTTTTCTTGCCAGTTTGTAACATTACTGTCTTTTGCTGCTTTTGTCGAGGTCACTCATACAAAATGCATCTTTTTACTAAAATAAAATAAAAATAAAATAAATAAAAATGCATTATGAAAAATAGATATTGAATAGTTTTTTTTATTGAATCAGTTCTACATTCAATTAATAATTCAATATATTTTAATTAAAACTTTAAGGTTGCAACATATTATAAGCAAGTTGTTGTTGAACATTTGTCTTTACAAGCTTAAATCCCATACACAGCCATAAACAGACTTAAAATTGAATTTTAATAATTTTTAAAATTTTTAATAGATGAGTTGGAGCTGGTAAAAAACATCAACAAGTGACCATTATACATATAAACTTGCATCTCATGCCTTTAAAGAAGTTGCAGAGCTGGAATTTAAAGGGCGGAAGCTTTTCAGAAGCTCAAACAGAAGAACATATTTGGCCAGCATAATTCCTAAACTTTCATTTGCTTCATGATATAGCCTACTATTATTCTAAAATAAGGAAAATAGTTATAGAATGAGTAGGTGTGTCCAAACATTTGCTTGTGTACTTTATGATAAAAAGCATGCATGAGTACTTAACAAAACCTTTATTTGCTCACCTGGTTTCTCAGATCCGCAACGATCTTCTCATAGGCGCTCCAGTCTCTGCCGATCTCAGCTCCTTTCCTCATCAGAGCCTCTTTGATTTGCTCCTCCAGTTGATTGTTGGAGTCCTCCAGGAGTCGTACGTTTGACAGATACCCCGCCAGACGGTCATTCAGACCCTTCATGGCCTCTTTATCATCAGCTGGGGCAAAAGTGCTGCTGTTGATCTGCACGATCGGACGCAGTGTGTTTGCCAGATTCCCTATAGCGGCTGGGGAAATGGCCCCGAACCAACTGCCCCTTGACCCCATGCTGCCAGAAAGACTTGAGCTGGAGAAACTCCTGGAAGGGCTCTTGAATGACATGGTGCGGATTAGAGGTGCCTTTGAGCGTGCTTGCGAGACGCGGTCTGCTGTTTTACCTGCGGCAGGTAGTGGGAGGGGGGTTTGGGAGCAGCTATATATAGACTCAGATCTCTACAGTGATTGGTCAGGGGGATGTAAGTCTACACCTGCACGGATATCATTTGTTTGCAAATTCCCACAGAGGATAAACAAGGATGTACTCTCAAACTACACTGAAGAGAATTTAGTGTAGGGTTGACTTTAAAAGCATTTTACACACAGAAATTGCTAGTAAATTTCACTAATAATTGCAAAAAAAACAAAAAACAAAACAAACACTGAATTAAACATGACGTTTTGTTTTTCATCTTTTTATTTACAACAAAAGTTATTTCATGCCACATGAAGAATTTGTGTGTGTGTGTGTTGCATGTTGTCATGCGTGAGTACAAGTTATATTTTGTTTATTCTATATATACTTTTTCTGTTTATTTCACAGGTCCTGTCAAGAACACGCCCAGGTCATATTTCACCATAATATTAAAAGAAAGACATTAGATTTCACTTTACCTTTTGTGACAACATGCCCCCAATAATAATATCTAATGGGGTAAGTTGTCACACTGAGCACCAAACAGTAAAATAATAAATGGTCAATAAATATGGAAATTAATACATATTATGTTTTAAAATACTATTTAAAAAAAAGTGCATAGAAGCACATTGTTTATCTCATAAATCCTGTCCAGAATACATCCACATCCATGTCATATCGCTCTTCAGGCCAGATTTCACTTTCTATATATACGCAGTATATTTTCATAACATAGTTCACTGAACACACATCGACCTTTTGTGACCACATGCCCCAATACCAATAGCTCATGGGGTATGTTGTCACACTGGGAACCAAGGAGTTTATCATTATCTTTTCATCAAAATATAAATATTTTGAAATTAGGAAACACAACCAATTAAAGAAACAGCAAAAATGGACATCACAGTTCAAGAATTCAATTCAAATCTGCCTTCATTATATAGCCAACTTGTGTCTGAATGTATTCCACTGTGATTTTGCTGTGTTCACTTTCTTTTTAATAATAAAAATTAAAATATAATCTTTTTTTTTTTCAATAATAAGGTATTATAAAAATATAAAATTCTAGTTTCATAGACATAATTCATAAAAATACTCTGATTTAAGGTTAGAGGTTTGGATTACGTTTTTGACACCAACATACACAACTACCGCTGGAGAGAATGCTTCATGTAAATGCAAATCTTTCTAGCTTTTATACAGACCTAGCTCCAGTCTGCCCTTTATATTTATGTACATTCTTCTAGGCTTCCAAATAATTAAAATGCATATTATATATTTATAACAATCTTTAAAAGTATGTGATCATGCTATAAGAATGTTGATATTCAAATTATATTTTCATCATATTTCATATTTGCATTTCTTTTGTTTTTGAAAACTGGTTATTATGATAATGGGACGTGTGGCATTTCCACTCATGGCCACATGAAAGCAGCAGAGACCGCTTGACATTAGTGCTACTCTCAAGAAAAGTTCTGCAGGAATCATGAAGGACTGTGTTACAAACAGCCTACAGGATTACTGTAGACACATTTAAGGAACCAGCAGGAATACTTAAATATATTTGCTCTGCCTTCAGATTTGTACTGTACACGCAGGTACACGGGAATTGCTCTTTGGGGTTGGATCTTCTGGTTTCGCAAAAGCGGCCTGAAACGATTCGTTCATGAATCATAGTGATTCAGTAAGGTAAAAGTGGTTAATTTATTGAAAGTCTAAAATACTGAATTAGATTTTCTCTAAAAATCATAGCTGAATTCATAAATAAATGTATCACCTTTCTTTTACACTAAATATATATATTTTCTGGCAACCATATCATTTTATGTGACTATCCTGAGCAGAAAAACATCTTGCAATATGCTTTTGTGGTATGTTAACCTCGGAGATCCCTGATAACACGCGACCTCACAGTTTCACATTCATTTGCAGCTCTTTGACACAGATCTGTAGCTTCCCATGATCATTTAATATGTTAGTATAATTAAATATGTTTTATGAAAAGAGAAGTAGTTTAATGGTATGTAATATGACTACTGAACATGTGATAAACCATTGTTTGCAAGCCATAAATGCCATATAGGTCACAAATCGTTTGTCAGAGGTGCGGAAAAATCAGGAGTAAACAAAACACTGGAGATTAAACATTGTAGTAGAGCTTTAGCCTCACAAGAATGACAAAGATTGGATTGTTATGAACTGACAAGCAACCTGGAAAGACACAAAGACGGATCCATGAACATCAGAATCCTGATTATAGACTTCTGATAAGGGCATAGAAATGACCAAAACGTGTAAACAGAAAATTCAAGACTAGACTCCTAAACTCCCATAAGATTCAGTTTAAATCAAATGGTAAAACAAATAAAAACCATCGATCACATCTATGTACACAGAGAGATACTAATGCATGCTCTCCTCAAAACATAGTGTCATTTGTGATGAATCTGTTTGAATACTGACTGCTGCACATTTGGTTGTGTAAATCTATATTAGTCTTGCATAAATCATTCAAAAGATCCCAGATGCACAGGCCAGTCTAGATGTGCTGTTTCTCAGAGAGATAAATCACATCCGACAACTTGTTGATTCCTCGAGTATAATCACAGGCTGAGCAAAAATCTCTATGCACTTTCAGTGTGTCCTTCTAACAGGAACATTGTCAGAACTTTGGCTAATGTTCTGGCAAGGTTCTCTTAAATGTTCTTCCAATAACGATAATAGAACATTCGTTCTAACTTTAAAGTAAGCACAAAAAAATTCAAAAATGTATGGAATGTTTTTTTTTCTGAATCATTTTTTAAATGTTACTGCTTGTTTCAGAACATTCAAAAGTAACGTTCCCTTTCAAAATGGAATGTTCTCTTAACATTCGCATAACCAAGAAAAATACGCATTTAAATGATTTTTAAAAAAGGGTGTTTTGAACATCAGATAACGTATTTATACCTTAATGGAAACATTTTCAAAATGTTCTTAAACATATTTTTGCAAAACAGCAGCTTGAAATACTTGAAATACAGCAGCTTAAAATACTTTAAAATATCTCCTTCAAGTTTGGATTGAAATAAGAATTAATAAATTATGGACATTTTCATTTTTGAGTAAACCATTTCTTTCTTCAAGGTAAAGATCTGCTGCGCTTCAATATCAAGCTGGAATGTTCTGAGCATGGAAACCCAGAGAAGCAGAGAGAAGGATAACATCCTGAATCTGACGAGCCAGCATGAGGTTGCTGCCGCTTGCAATAAAGATGATGGAGAGCAGAACAAACAGGGGGGAAAAAAGATGAGTATTGCTTTTGGTCAAGTGTATCTGATTTTGATCTAGTTACCTTTTCAGTAAAAATGCATGCATCCTTCTCTAAGTAAAATAATCTAATATGAAATTCTGATTTGTGGCTGCACTTCTGCTTTCATTGATGAAAGCACCTTTGTGATGGCTCTTATTGGATCTGTTTTTCAGCAAGAAAGGTCACAGCACAATAAATGGCATGAATTAACCTGACTAGTACATAGGGTGCTCGTGCTTTTTGGGGGTCATCTGTGCAGGTAGATTTTATGATACAAGTAAATATAATATAGTTCCCATCAAATGAAAGGAAACAATGTAAAAAATGTATTCATTAGTATTTTTTTATTAAAATATCCAAAAACCACTAGAACAGTGTTATATATTTTGCTGACTTGTGTACTTACATGTACTTACACCCAAATGTTTCGAAGAATGTTTAAATTCAGAGAAATAAGCAATTTTAATTAGTGACACGAACCGTGTCTATAGTGTCACTGTGTTGCCTGTTGCCTGTTGCCTGTTGAAACACCAAAGACGCTTTAATATGTTAAGCGTTTTATTAGCAGTGCTGGGGAAAGTTACTTTTAAAAGTAATGCATTACGATATTGCGTTACTCCCTAAAAAAGTAACTAATTACGTTACTTAGTTACTTTTTATGGAAAGTAATGCGTTATATTACTTTTGCGTTACTTTTTAAATATAAGCAGGGCTTGATTGTTTTTAATATAAGAAGTTCTATTTATAGCAAATATAAAAGCCCTTTCACACCAAAAAGTGTAATGAATAAACCTCAGGCTGAAGCAAAAGTAAATTCACATCTGTACAGTAGAACGCAGGAGAAGAAACACTCTTCAGCAATAAAAAAACTAAGCACAATTGTTCATTTCTCTAAAGTGATTTTTGCTTATTAGTACGGTTGAACTGGATCATCAAAGGTCAGCAGCAAAAACATTGGTTAATAAAATGGGATTAGATACATTTGTGTTATTTGACATATTTAATTATTGCAGGTTTGCGTCATATTCTGAGTTTGCATTTCACTGTTTTAATTCATTTTGATGAATACTAAATCAGTTTTTTGTGAGTGGGATGAATTAACGCACATTCACATTTAGTCTAGAACTACAGTAGCATCATGTTCACACAGCGCACACAACGCCTCTGCACTGCCGATTTCTCCCAATATGGGGACAGGAGACTTGTCAGTCAATAAATGGGAATGCAAAGTAACTGGCATTACTTTTTTTAAAAAGAAACTCAGATATTTTCTTGTAAATTAAAAAAGTAATGCA